GTGCTTGAAGGAGCCCTTGACAAAGGCCGCAAACTCGTCTTCGGTCATGAGCGCAAACTGGTTGTCGGTCGAGAAGACGGCGCCCTTGTGCTGCTTGTTGAGGTCATCGACGATCTTTTGGGTCGTGGCAAACCGAAGGAGCTCGTCGTCAATCTCGCCGTCTTCGAGGTTGCCGTGTTCCGTCTTGGGCGGGAGAAAGCCGTTGGCTTCGGCTTGCTTGCCGGCTTGGCTGGCCTTCCACGCCTCGAGCTTGGCTTGGAGGTCTACCTTTTCTTGGGCCGAGAGGCGCAGGCCGTGGACGGCCGATGTGGCGAGAAGAAGGCAAGCGATCGACTTCATTGTGGTGGTGTGAAGTGGTCGAGGCAAATTGGGAAATGAACACACAACGCTCGCTATCGGTGTTGCATGCAGTGTTCGATTTCAAGAGGCAGAGGCTCGTTTTGTCGAGTTATGTATTTATTCTGTGAGCCGCCGTCATTCGGTCGCATGAGGAATCCACGAACGGCAGACGCCGCACGTGGTAAGGTCATTTGACTAGCATCGACGAGCCAGACGACGCCCCTACTGTTTGCACTTGGAGATGACGCGAGTATAGACCCGGCTGTTATCGACACGCCAATCTACGCTGCCACGTCATCGTTGCCATTGGTGTCTTCGCCAGGCGAGCTCGAGATCCTTGCTTCAAATAGCTGGAAGAGTATCATGTCGAAAGAATCGGACCGCAAAACGGACGGCGACAAGGAACTGGCAAACAGCTCTCTCAAGATATGCGTTGGCGTCATGTGTTCCGAATGTGCAATAATCAGAAGGACGCACAACACCTGACAAGGTGGAATGCATGAGCGTCCTCATTCAGCGTCATCTCGTGCAAAAGTGGCGCACGGTTTGGATCATTGGATTTTTGGATTTTTGGATTCTGACGAACACCACATGTTCTTGGATGATTGAAAAGAATCAAGTGAAGATTTAGTGGCGCAACACCTCCAGTCCAAATGGACTAGCCATCGTGCCAGCCATTTTAGTCCAACGATGTTGAATGTGGACCAAGTCTGCAACGACCCTTGGACCCATAAATAGCAACACAATTTTGGATGGGGCTTCGAGGCCTTCTTGCCGCCGCAGTGGCGCTGCACATGACATGGGCGTCGCAGTGCCCCAACGACTGCAGCGGTCACGGTCTCTGTCACTTTCAAGGTGTCTGCCAGTGCTCCCAGTCGTTCATGGGCGCCGACTGCTCGCTGCGTACGTTCTTCCGCTCCATTGCACGACCTCTGATAGCGATTTTAGTCAAGTGTCCGATGGCCGCAGCGTGGGCCGACTACCCCCAGTCGTTGGAGAACGCGCACAACCTCGCCGAGTGTGCCAACCGAGGCACGTGCAACCGCGCAACGGGGCTCTGCGACTGCACTCCGGGCTTCACCGGCGCTGCTTGCGACCGCAGTAGGACGCTTCTATCATGCAGAGCGCTCAGATCTGAGCGGTAGTGGCTTGCAACTGCAACGGCCGCGGCACGTGTCTCTCGATGAGCCAGCTTGCGATGACCAAGGATCCAGGTCTTGGCACCATCTACCCGTACACGACGCCGTGGGACGCCAACAAGATCTACGGCTGTCAGTGCGATGCCCCATTCACGGGCTACAGCTGCACCGAGAGTACGACTCCTTTCGGATTGGATTATCGCACGAGGGTGATCGCGCAATAGTGCATTGTCCCCGCGGTGACGACCCGCTCACGGGCACGACCCAAGACCTTAACGGCGTCCAGTTCAACGAAAAGCAAGTCGTCACGTGCATGGCCACGGTACGCTTGCTTTGTTAACACGGGTGCAACCAATGGTGTAGGGCGGGTCGTTCACGCTGGCCTTCCGAGGCTTCACCACGGCGCCAATTCTAGTGTCCGACTCGGCTGCCAACATGCAAGCCAAACTCTTGGTCTATATAAATTCGATTACTGCGTCGTCATCACTACGACGCTATGAATGTAGGCACTGCCATCTCTCCACGGTGTCGTCGTCACGTTCTCGGGTCTGACGCCCACGGCGTGTACCGTGCTCGGACATGCCATCGCGATTGAGTTCACCCAAGACTTTGGCAAGTATGTGGTTTCGCGAGGCGTTGTTGGATCCCTTCTCGTGGCTCTCTAGTCTGCCGTCGCTCGTGGGCAATAATGGCGCCTTGACGCTGACGACGGTCGGCGCGTCACCCCGCCTCACGGTTGTCACGACGGTGCATGGCACAAAGGAAGATGCGTACTGCTCCAACCGCGGTCTCTGTGACCGGTCGACGGTGCGTCCGTCGATGATGATAGTGAATCACTCTGGCGACCTGCATAGGGCACATGCAATTGCTTTCCCAACTATGTCTCGAGCGACGGCTACGGCAGCGTGGGTCGCCGCGGCGACTGCGGGGCCGTCGCATTGGCTATTACGAAGTGTCCCGTAGACGCTGTCTGCCTTTAGAGTTGGACTTGACGCGAGGGGTAGGGCAAAAACTTGGCCTGCAGTGGCCACGGAGTCTGCCAAGGGCCCCCGACGTTTTCGTGCATTTGTGCCAGCGGGTTCCAAGGCGGCGACTGCTCCGAGCGTACGGCCTCCTTGCCTACGATGCCATCTATTTTCTGAACCTGAATCTGAATTGGAATGTGCGTAGAGCAATGTCCCATGGGGACTTCGTGGTTTGATGTACCGGGCAGTCCAAATGGTGCGCACCAACTCGCCGAGTGTTCGAACGCAGGCACGTGCGACCGAACGCGGGGCGTGTGCTTGTGCGACACGCGCTTCACTGGCGCCGCGTGCAATCGGCGTACGTGTCGATTAGTGCAAAATTTGCCAATTTGGTCATTTTCTGATTTCTAGTCGAATGCCCCAACGACTGCAGCGGCCATGGCACGTGCCTCACGATGCAAAACCTCGCGCCACTCACAAAACTCAACGGCGACCCGCGACCGGCGTTTACCTACGGAAGCGTTCCGAACAACAACCCGGTGCGCGAAACAAATGTCTGCAGAACGCAAGACAATTTTGTTGTTGATAGACGTGGGACTCCAACCAAGTGCAAGGCTGCGCCTGCAACCCTGGCTACGAAGGGTTTGACTGCTCAAAATGTACACTACATTCCCCAACAATTGTCATTTGGACACATTGGACGACGTCTATTAGTGTCGTGTCCCACGGGCGACGACCCGCTGACGTATTACGACAAGAATGGCATGGTCCAAGTCAACACCGTCCAGACGATTGTGTGCACAGCAACGGTATCCTATCCAAATATTCAACGATCCATTCTTTTATCCTGTTGGATTGTGCTAGACGGGCACGTTTACATTGGGCTTTCGTGGCGACTTTACCGCGCCGCTACCCTTTACGATCACCAGTGCAACACTCGCGAGCATCCTCAACCTCCTCCCCGCTTTTGGCCAGGTTTTCTTATCGCATCTTTCTTATTCCAATGTTGAACGAGCGCAGGTGCTCGTCTCGTACTCGGCGGGCGCCGCGGCGTGCACGAGCAACGGCGCGAATGTGATCTCGATCTCGTTCCTCTCTGTGTTTGGAGCACTTCCGCCGGTACGCTACACGACGTACGGCGTGACGTCGATTGCAGTCTACAACGATGGTACGATGGGGTCGGTTGTCGGCACCAAAGAAGACGCCCTGTGCTCCAACCGGTAGACAATTTTGTGTATTTTGTTCCTTTACGAGAAAATTTGTAGCGGGCTCTGCGACTATACCAAAGGCCACTGCGTGTGTGCGACGGGCTTTACAAGCAGCGACGGCTACGGCCACGCGGGGACGCGCGGTGACTGCGGCTACATGGAGCCTGTGTACCTCAACTCGGCGGGCGAGTACGCCAACGCCGATTGAATGGGCTAAACCAATATGACACGAATGCATGATGAGATGTACGCGTGTTGGCACCAGTTAGAGCTCAGTCTTTGCCCGATCGCAGCGCAGTTCCGCGAGCTCGTCGGCCGTGAATGCATTTGCATGCCCCGGCGACGTCGGGTTGCCACGCAGCGGCGTCTCGTCCATCGATGTCCAGAGGCAGCACGGGTCGCCGAGCTCCTCGCCGTTGGTGGCGCCGTCGCCGTCCGAATCGAGCTGGCACAAGGCGGTTGTCCATTCGTAGTTGCATAAAGTCGTGGCCAAACGGCGTGTAGGCGCCGCCGCCCGCCTTGTTTTCGTGGCCGATCGCCGGGACACCAGAGACCTCAAAGCCGTTTGGGAGATTGTAGCGGAACTCTGAGTACGCTGACGTTGACGCCGCCAGCGTCAGCAGGCGCACTAGGAGCATGATGAGGCTGGTTTCAAACTGATCGGGATGACCGGTTATGGTTTTGGTAACCGGATCATACCGGATGACGTGGCGTACGGTGCGTCCGAGCTTTGAACCGAAACGACGTCCTGGCCAAGCATATTCCTTTTCTTGAATCAAGCTGATCGTGTGCGCAAGTGTACCTCAGTAGTCGACGAGGTAAAATGAGCGTGTGCGCTCCTATTTCTCTCGCCCAAATGTCGTCGGGCGCGAGCTGCTTTTGCCCACAAAAGCCGTTGATTTCAGACGGAGCACTCGCCACAATCGTGGTTCCATGGGCGCGCAAGACAGAAGATTGTACCATAACAAACTATGTTGGGTTGGCGACAGCTCCTTGTCCTTGGGCTAGCCATGCTCCTCCTACCCTCCCTCTTCGACGCAAACGATTGCTCTGTACCAACTCGCCCTTGACGACCTTGAATATATGTACGATTTCATGTTGTACGTCATGGTTTTGGCTTTTCGTGCTGCCACGTATCATCAAGTTTGCGCTAAAAGCCTACGCCTTTTTGGTCGCATTGTCTTTCTCGACGAGCGCCGTCCACTCGGGATAGAAGAGCGGAATCGCCGTGGGCTGGAGCGCCGGGAGCTGCGCTGCAATTGTAGCCGTTAGCGCCGCGTATACAAACCGGTTGCCTTTGGCGTTGAGGTGCAAGCCGTCGCTGAGGTAGCTCTCACGCTCCGATTGCATGGTCGTCCAGAGATCGATGGCGACGACACCCAGCGCCGCGGCGGCACGAACGCACGCAGCCGCGTACTTGCCTGCCGTCGCATTGTTGCGCCCGTAGAGCTCGTTGTCACCAATCGGCGGCGGCGTCAGCAAGATGAAGGCGGCGTCGGGGAAGGCGGCGCGAAGTGCCGTGACGATAGTCTTGGTGTTGGCTTCGTACTGGGCAAGCGGCACGTGCTGGATGCCCGACGGCAGGTCTGCGTCGTTGGCGCCGAGGAAGAGCGTGATGAGCGACGGCGCGCGTTGGTTCTGGAGCTCTGCCACAATCTGCGGCAAATAGTCCAAGAACCATCTAGTCATGAAGTTTTGGCAAATGGCAAACTCGGAATTGATACCTTGTGTTGTAGCCGCTCAGGCCGCGGTTGATGATGTCGGCGCGGCGAATGTAGTCGGCCTCGAGGAGCGTCTGGAAGCCGCCGATCGCAGGGTCGGACGCTTGCTGCGTGATCGAGTCGCCGAGGAGGAGGATGCGCGCCTGGCTCGTCATCTCGTCCAAATCGCCAAATTGCGTTGTGACAGAGATGGAGCATTTTAGCCAATCCATGAATACAATCTCAGAGATTGGTCTAATATGTAGGATTTTTCGTATATTCATCCAATCGATGCGCTCTATTTTCCCCTTTTTGAGCCAATCGAGCAGCACGATTGACATCCCAGAAGCTCCCGGCATGGCTCAGCACGACAGCATCCCTCGTCAGCCCAAGTACTTGCCAACACTACTATAGCCTCAATAGTAGAGTAGATGTGTTGTCTAGTTGTATTACCTAGCAAACATGCAGCTCAGGTAGTACCTAACAAAGCATTTTGCCGCAGCGTTCAAAGACGAGGCTACAACTCCGTCTTGGGGGATGTCGGCTTGGCCTTTGTAGCCTTTTTGGCTTTCTTTGGCTTGCGGTTTTTGGCGCGGGGAGGATACAACGTCTCTTGGTTCCATTGAATCTCGGTGACTTGAGGCTGTTCAAAGAGGAACGCGTGGAGCTCCTGCACCCGCGACCCTCTTTGCAGCCCTGCGAGCACTTTGGCGCCCTCGAGCTCGTAAAAATTGACGTCCAGACCGCCGTTGAGAAGCATCTACGCGCCAAGCTCATTCGTGGAAGATATCGTCTTAGCGTAGTACGCTTTTCCAGAGCGCGCAGAGCTCCGAGAGCGGCTTCTCATAGTCGGGGTGCGCCATGGCAAAGGCCGCGACCGCCGACGGCTCGAGTGTGACAAACACCATCTCGGACTTTTCCAGTTCTTGCTTGCGGTTCCTATGACCAAAGAGTTGGTGGGGACAGAGAGAGGCAGCGTACTGTTTGGCGGCGAGGGCTTCGTCCGAGAGCAGCTCTTCGTCCATGTCGCCCTTCTCCCATTGCCTTTCGAGAGCGTCGTAGTCGATGGTCTTGGCCGCCAGATCGACCGCCACAAGGAGCACCATGAGCAGCAGCAATAGCACAGGCCCTCGTCGCATCGTCCGTCCCTTCGCCTGGATCTTTCAAGTTGGGCCCGAGGTGTTGATTGGCCAACGCTTCTGTCTTTGGACATACTTCATACTTGCCCGAGTCGCCGCTCACCTGCAATCGCGATCGTCCAGATACCAAACCAAGTGGATCTATATGTCGTCGACAAGCCCCACGCCGAGTCATCTGCACCGAGTTACATGTACAATGCGAACGCGAGTATCTCCTTACAGGCAGCATCCTTGTGGTCCTCTCGGGCGACCTCTTCAACTCCTATTTTGACGAGGACGAGGCCGTATTCATTCGCTTGCGCTTTGCGAACCTCGGTGATAGTGTCATCACCGACGCTTTGCCAGCGCATGCGCTCCTTCGCGAATGGCAGTTGATGACCCGAGGACGTCGAGAACGGCTCATTCACCACCGCACGTCAAAGAGCTACGTTTATATATGAACGTGTTTCGCTGTATCTTCATTCCAAAGACTTTGCATACGTAGAGACTAGCAATCTCCTTCTTCTTCATTCGCTCGGTGGGCTGTGGCTGCGCAGGCGGCGGCGCGGGGCTCGTCTTGCTCTTTTCTTGTCGCCAGGGGGCGTTTCTGGCTCCATGACGACACGCTTCGCAAGGCCTTTCACGCTTCGCTGTCGGTGGCACAATGCTACATTTAGGCTCTACATTGATAAACAGAACCAAAGCCCGCTGTCGAGGCTCGACAACGGCCCACCCCTCGTTCCTTTACGAGTAGGTGACGCTGACCTTCGGGTCAGTTGCTTCCAGTTGCGGACGTCAGGTCGCTGAGGTCGCTGGCACGGCAAGGTTTAAACACGTCGCCGTCAAATGCGTGCTGATGGTGCAAGTGGACGATGAAGAAGGGCAGTTGCAGGACCTCTTTTTGAGGTCTCTGCCGCCAGAGGCTTAAGGTGACTGGCCAACGTTGCGGATGCACTCAACGCAACGTTGAAGTGCTGCATCGACGCTGCCGGAGCTCTCAGTGGTAGCTCATGCAGCAGTGCCGCACTTGCGTTAGTACTGCAGGATGAATACCCGGTATCCTTTCCGTCACAACCCAAGGAATCAATTCCAAATCACGTCCGTGCTTTGTGTGGTGCTTGGAGGGACACTAAGGCAGACGTCGCTTCGAGGCACTTTGCGCTTCTCGCATGAGATGGGCACCAAGGGGCGTTGGATTTGCTGCCGCCCCATTCAGGATACTGAGGACGCCAGTGGGAACGATTATAGATGAATTGTTAATGGGAGGCGTTCGAGAGGCTTCTAGCAAAGCGCGTTAATGCCTGGCAGGTAGGAATTGTGGGAGCAAAAGACTACCACTTGAAAAATCAGGACACCGATTGATGCACGCCAGGTGTCGGCAGAGTGGCTTTGAAGCCGCGCCCTTTTCATTACTGCACATTCGAAACGCGTGGCTCGGTGGCGCCAACAGCTAGCTCGAATCTTGCGCGCCATAAATGAGGTTGAAAATACTGTACACCACACGCTCCAATTCCTCGTCTCCGTCCGTTTTGCGGTCTAGTTCCGCCGACATGTGTTTGCTACCGCAAAGTTGGCAACACATTCGAGTTCGACCGCAACCAAATGCACACATCGATCGATAATACCTGCATCTAAATGAATCAATTTAGCCAAGCCACGATGGTAGCTGCCATCTTTACTCAATACAAACTGTGATGCCATTGAAGCGAAACTAGAGCTCGCATGGAGACACCACCAATGGTACAGGCACAATGACGTGGCGGCGTGCAATGAAAGAACGGGTAGAGCCGGTTCGATAGAAGTGCAATTTCAACGTGCAAACTCAACCAGCAGCGTGCGATGGAAACGTCAGCCAAGTTCCTCATCCATGCTAATCAAAAGACCGTGGCGTTGCATGCA